AGTGGTATCACCGTATCTGTTTAATTATAATGATAGAATTATAGCAGTATAGCTGATAAAATTTCAGCAAGCCCATTATCTCTGGAGAAGGAAGAATGAGGGGAGAAGACAGTGTTTCTTAGTGAGTAGCTCACAGGCTTGTCATTCTACCACTGGCATTCTGGTGACTTTGGACACATTACTTTGCCCTCTGTGCCTTAAGTGGTATCACCGTATCTGTTTAATTATAATGATAGAATTATAGCAGTATAGCTGATAAAATTTCAGCAAGCCCATTATCTCTGGAGAAGGAAGAATGAGGGGAGAAGACAGTGTTTCTTAGTGAGTAGCTCACAGGCTTGTCATTCTACCACTGGCATTCTGGTGACTTTGGACACATTACTTTGCCCTCTGTGCCTTAATTTATCCATGTGTAAAATGGGTGTAATTACACTTCTTTCCTTTTTAAAGTGCTTTTAGATCTACTGATAAACAGTGCTATACAGTAACTCCTCTCTAAGGGTATATCTACACAGCAAGGTTATTTCAAAATAACTTTCTTAGCGTCTACACAAGCCAACTGCTATTTCGAAATTAATTCGAAATAGCGGAGGGCTTATTTCAAAATTGGTAAACCTCATTCCACAAGGAAAAGTGCCAATTTCAAAATTGCTATTTCAAAATAAGCGCGGTGTAGACACTTATTTCGAAATATAGGGCCTCCAGCCCTTCCCAGGATGCCCTGCTGGCCGCCCTGGCCACAAGGTAACTTCTGACCTGATGCCCTGCCAAAACCAGTTCCAGCCTTAAATGCGATTCAGCATCCAATCAGTGTGGACGCACTATTTCGAAATAGCAAAAAGTTATTTCAAAATTCATTTTGTGTGTAAACATTATTTCAAAATAAGATATTTTGAAATAACTATTTCAAAATTAGATATTTTGAAATAATGCTGTAGTGTAGACATACTCTTAATGAAATGATGTTAAATGAATCCAACTTTCCCATAACATTTATGTAAATTCCAGGGATTTTTTTTTACCAGACAAAAGACATTATATACATATATATAGTACAAGTTTTAAACAAGTTCTAATCAGAGAATGGTCTTGGGACCTTCTCTTGAGTTTCCTGAGCTTCTATAGCAACTGTGTTGATAGCAAGAGGAATATTTCCCAAGGAATGCTTTGCTACACCGGCACTGATTTTCCAAAGTGCCAGGGGTGCTCCACCCTGGCTTTTCCCCAGGCCCACCTCCACCCCCATTCCCTCTTCTGAGCATATCCACACTCCTCCCATTTCCAACCCAACCTCCTGAATGCCTCCAAATAGCTGATTGCTGTGGGTGAGAGGCACAGCAGGCAGGCGACACTAGGGGTGATGGAGGATGGGAGTTGATTGGGGCGCTGCTGGCCCACCCTAGTTCCAAGTCCCCACCTGCCAGCAGGATGCCAAACAATGTTATAAGAAAACATGTCGCAGCTTTAAATGAGTATGTTCTCTAATAGATCAGGGTGAATGAAGCAACACTGAAGCAACATTAAGTGGGACAACATTAAGTGAAAAGTTACTATAGAAGAGTTAGATGGTAATTATTATTTATTATTTCACTCATCCTTTCTCTGTAACAGCAGAACCTCTGGCCTAGCCCAGCCCTGCTGTAATTGAAGGAGTAACAGTTAATTCCTCGAGGAGTAACAGTTAATTCGAACTAAGGACTTAGTTCGAATTAACGTTTCACTGCCGCACGTAGCTGTGCGGCAGTGAGTTTGGGCTAGTGAAATTTTAAAATGGTGACCGGATGGGAACATGCAAATAAACCCCAGGATATTTAAATCCTGGACTTCATTTGCAACTCCGGTTGCCTCATTTGCCTACCTAGCTCGAATTAACGTCCTAGTGTAGACACACCCTGAGAACTAAAGGACATTCCTCTTCATTATTTCCCAGTCACTTATTTGTGACAAATCACAAGGAATATGTCTAAACTACATCCCTCTTTTGAAAGAGGGACGTAAATTAGGCAGATCGAAAGTGCAAATGAAGCGGGGATTTAAATATCCCGCGCTTCATTTGCATAATCGCATCACAGTGGTCTTTCAAAAAAGGGTACAGGCAGTCCCCAGGTTACGTACAAGATAGGGACTGTAGGTTTGTTCTTAAGTTGAATTTGTATGTAAGTCAGAACTGGTACATATTGTAGGGGAAACTCTAGCCAAACATTTCTCCAGAGCTCAGTTTTATTCTCCCACACCTCACTTCCCTCAGTCCTTTATTCTCAAGCTGAGGTGTCTGCTGAGAAAAGCCGCTCCGCGTCTCCCTGGTCTGCTGTGGGGGCACTAGCTTCGCGTCTCCCTGGCCTGCTGGGGGGAAGCAGCTAGTGCGGGGTTGTCTCACCCCGTTTGTAAGTAGGGATCCGATGTAAGTCGGATCCATGTAACCCGGGGACTGCCTGTATTTCGAAAGTAAAACTGCCATCTAGAAGCGATTCTTTCGGGAGGATAAAAAACCTTTCCTAACGATCCTGCACTCCTCAAAAAACCAGATGGTGGTTTCACTTTCGAAATACCCTTTTTCAAATTACCGCTGTGACACAATTATGCAAATGAAGCATGTGATATTTAAATCCCTGCTTCATTTGCACTTTTGAGCTGCCTAATTTACATCCCTCTTTCGAAAGAGGGATGTAGTCTAGACATAGCCAAGGAGAATTATTGCCCTGTCATGTTTTGGGGACCAGTGCTAAGCATGTTTCTTGTGCTCTCTGCCTGTGTATTAAGTTTTTAAAGTAAAATACATACAACTGGAAATGGTTAGTTTAGTTTAAACCAAATTAGAAGACAGGGAAAACCGCATATCGAGCAATAATTTAAATACCAACATGAAAATTATGTACCTTTTTAATACAGTGCTTCCAATAATTCAGCTCTTTATCTCTTATTACGAGAAAGATACTACAATCATTATATACCTGCCATATTTTTACATACCTTTTCCTACTGACTTATTATAGTAGCCATTGGTTAACTTTTAATAACTCTTCCCTCTTTGCTACTTTCAGACGCCCATGATGCAGTTTTAAGATTTAATGGGGCTCCTACCAGAGGGTTTCAGCAAGATGTAGGAGAAAAGACAACCGTTCGCCTTGTTAACTCTCAGGTAAGTCTGCCTGTCCTATGCAACAGAGAATGAAAGTGCCTTGCCCTGGCAGGGTTGATATAGTTGGGATTGGTCCTGCCTAGAGCAGGGGGCTGGACTTGATGACCTTGTGAGGTCTCTTCCAGTTCTATGGTTCTATGATTCTATGCCTTGATGAAAGGCCCAGTTCAGTTCCTTATTGTGCAGTCTCTACTTCACTGCAAGGATTGAGGTATGAATAGCACCAACAGTAGAGTGATCGGTGGTGAGTGGCAGCTTTTCTTATAGTATTTATGGACGAATCATAAGGATTTTGATGTGGCACTACCTCGAGGTATCTCAGGCAGGAGAGAACAGGCAGAGCCTTTAAACAAATTCAGTAACCAAAATCATATCTTCCAAATATTTAATCCTTTGCCTTAACTAGCTTTTATAGAATTAGAGTCTTCTGCTATCCTAGAAATTGGATCATACCCAGTATCTGCCTAGTGACCCTGTCTGACCAGGGTTAGCACCAGAGGCTTAGTTTAGAGAAAGGTGTAAGAACCTTGAGGTAGACAGATGTGAGACAATCTGGCCCCTCAATAGGTTTTTAATACAGGCAGTCCCCGGGTTACGTACAAGATAGGGACTGTAGGTTTGTTCTTAAGTTGAATTTGTATGTAAGTTGGAACTGGTACATATTGTAGGGGAAACTCTAGCCAAACATTTCTCCAGAGCTCAGTTTTATTCAGCTGAGTGGTCTGCTGAGAAAAGCCGATCCACGTCTCCCTGGTCTGCTGGGGGAGGAGGGGCGCTAGCTTCGCGTCGCCCTGGTCTGCTGGCGGGAAGCAGCTAGTGCGGGGTTGCCTCACCCCGTTTGTAAGTAGGGATCCGATGTAAGTCAGATCCATGTAACCTGGGGACTGCCTGTAGTTGTGCTGTATCACTTCATGCTGTATTTCAAATACAGCTTTTTAGTCATAGTGTATTCATCTATACAGAACATGTGTTGCTGAATACATCCCCTTCATTATCTCAATAGCCGAAAAGTAGAAGACTTACCCTATTAGGGTATGTCTACACCACAGCACTAATTCGAACTAACTTAGTTCGAATTAGTTAATTTGAACTAAGCTAATTAGAATTAGCGCAGCTAGACTTAAAAACTAGTTCGAATTAGCTTTTTGCTAGTGGACCCTGAACAGAGGTTAAGGATGGCCGGAAGCAGTGCCAGCAGGGCATCAGATGAGGACTTAGAGCGTGGAGCTGCTGTCTCAGGCTAGCCAAGGGCTGTGCTTAAAGGGACTCGACCCCCACCCCGGACAGACAGTTCTCAGGGGTGCCCCAGCGCAGCTAGACTTAAAAACTAGTTCGAATTAGCTTTTTGCTAGTGGACCCTGAACAGAGGTTAAGGATGGCCGGAAGCAGTGCCAGCAGGGCATCAGATGAGGACTTAGAGCGTGGAGCTGCTGTCTCAGGCTAGCCAAGGGCTGTGCTTAAAGGGACTCGACCCCCACCCCGGACAGACAGTTCTCAGGGGTGCCCCGCTTGCAAAGCAGTCCTGGCTTGGATTGCCCGGACTACCCACACTGGGCACATCACA